TTCTGCGGGGAACAAAGGCTCCACTGGCAGTTGAACTCCAGGCCATGAGTGTTATGCTCTGGAAGACTATTTGTCTACATTTTGCTCACATCCTGAGACATACTGAGAATAAAGGTGGCAGAAAATCTCAAGGCAGTTTAACATTCAGGCTGTGGCGTAGGTACTACTGGGGGTATTTAGCCAGCTTCATATTGAAAATCAAGAGCAAACAGCAGAACTGAATGATTTAAAAGTTTGAGTTTGGCTAGAAAAGAAGCTCTGGTAAAGTTGGCGCCTACAAAGATAGAGCAGAGGAGAGCTTGGATGCTAAAAAAAAATTAGCATTAAGAAAAAGACAAACCAAGTGTAACATGACTGTGATCCCAACACTCAGGAAAAAACAAAAAATAAAATAAATAAAAAGAAGCCAAGCACTCTACAACAGGACAACAGGAAAATGGCTTAAAGACATGTGAGGAAAGAACAAAAACTCTGCCCTTTGGCCTACAAAAATAAAAGACTTTGCTGTGAGAGGAGAGCCCCAGGGCAATCTGTTGGAGAAGAGCTGCCTAATAAAATTGATTCTCCAGGAATCAGTTTATCTGCCCTGTCATCCAGACGGTGGTCGGTGGTTGGAGGAGGCCTCTGTAACCTTTGACAAGATGCAAAAGGGGCCTGTCAACAGACCTCAGTATCATCCACATGGTGCTGATTTTCGGCACCTGCAGAATGCAAAGAGTTGTGGAGTCACGAATACTTTCACCCAGATCTTAGAGGGCAGCCTGGGAGGCCAGGCCCCAAAGTGGGCAGTGTGTGAAGCTGCGAAGGTAAAGCTGAAAGTGCAGTGGAGACATCAGGAAGTTGAAAGAGCCAGGGCTGTGGATCATTTGAGGAAAGCCACAAGGAGTGAGTAAAGCTAGCCCAAGAAAGAAGCCTTGAGGGCTACGACCAATGGCAACGTAGGGGTAGGGCCACTCAAACCGCTTGGAGTTTACATCGCACTGCAGCTTGCCCCAGGTGCTGGACTTCAGACTTAAGGATCAAATGTCTGTCCTGCTGGGTTCTGGTCTTGCTTTGGTCCCATTCCCTCCTATTCCCTATTTCTCCCTTTTGGAATGGGAATGTTTATTCTGTGCCATTGTAGGTCAGCGGTATTTAGCTTTCTTTTGATTTTTTTTTACAGGGGCTCAACAGGTAAGAGTTTGCTTTGAGTCTCAGAGGAGACTTTTGATTTGAATTTTTCAGCAATGCTGAAACTGTTAGGACTTTGACAACTCTTAGAGATGGACTAAATGGATTTTGCATAAAGGGATATGCGTGAGTCTTTGGGAGACAGAGATGGAACGGTATGGTTTATATCTGGATATCTCCTCACCCAAGTCTATTGTGCCCACAGGTAGGGATTTGAGGAGATGAGGGATTTGAGTTCCATATAGTGTGATCACGGGGATGTGATAATCAGTGGCGGAGTAGCTCACTAATGCGCTTATAGCTGACTTGATTTTAGGAGGTGGGGATCTGGTGGGTACAGGTAGGTCATTGGGGGCACAGCCTGGAAGGGTTTGTTTCTTCCTCACACTTCCCTCCTTTATCAGCGCTTCCCCACCATCATTCTGTGAGAAGCTTCTCCTTCGCTGTGTCCCTCTGCTATGCTGTCCTGCCTTGAAGCCAGTGAAGTATGAATTAAAGCTGCTACAAACTATGATCCAAAATAAACCTTCCTTTCTTTAAGTTGTGGGTATCAGACAGTTTGTCAAGGAAGGTGACTGGGAGAGTTGTTGAACAAAAGGAAAAAAAATGGAATCAGCTCTAGGAAAATAATGCAATGACAAGACTTAGTAAATACCTTACAATAATAACTGTCAAGGTCAGTGGTCTTAACTATGCAATCAAAAGATACAGATTGGAAGATTTAGTCAAAACCAAAGATCCTGCCGACCCTGGTGTTGCACACCTACAATCCCAACACTCGCATTTGGAAGGCTGAGGAAGGAGGATCATTTAGAGTTTGAGGACAGCCTGGGCTACAAAGTGAGTTCAAGGCCAGCCTTAACTACATAACCAGACACTATTTTTTTAAAAAAATCCAAATGTATATTGCCTGCAGAAGACTCACCTTATACAAAAACAAAGCTCATGGACTGAAGTGAAAGAATAGAAAATAATACCCCATGAAACCACAGTCCAAAAGCACGCAGGAATATCTTGGTTTTTGGTTTAGTTGCTTGTTTGTTTGGTACTGAGGACCGAACTCAGGACTTTGTGCTTATGAGACAGGCAGCAGAACCACTGAGCTAAATCCCAGGCCTCAAGCAGGAATATCTTATTCTCAGACTCATCAGACTTCAAGCCAAAACTGATCAGCAGAGATAAAAATGACCACTACATACTGGAAAAGGAATAATTCAACAGGAAGATAACAACTGCAAATATCTATGGATGGAATGCTGGTGCACCCAACTTCATAAAAGAAAAACCACTGTACATAAAACGACAGAAAGACACCAATACAATCATAATGGGGGAACGCTGGGTATGGTGGTGCACGCCTGTAATCCCAGCACTCGGGAGGCTGAGGCAGGAGGATCGCTGTGAGTTTGAGACCAGCCTAAGCCATATAGTGAGTTCCAGGTCAGTTTCAACTACATAGTGAGACCCTGACTAAAAAAAAAAAGTCATAATGGGGGACTTCAGCAACCTACTCTTATGCTTACATCAACCAAACAAAAACTTAGCAAAGAAATATCAGAGTTAAACCATAATTGGACAAATGGACTTAACAGACATCTACAGAGTGTTTCATCCAACAGCAATAGAGTACAAATTTTTCTCAGCAGCACACAGAATTTTTTTCCAAAACAGACCGTATCTTAAGACCATAAAGCATGCTCAAATAAACAAAAAGGAAATAATCCCTGGATACTATCGAATTATAGTGGAATGAAGCATGAAATCAACAGCAAAAGAAACCACAGAAATTAGACAAACACATGGATATTAAATAATACATCAGGGCTGGGGATTTAGCACAGTGGTTCTGTCCCCTGCCACACAAGTGCAAGGTCCAGAGTTCAATCCCTTGTACCCCCCCAAAAAAAAACCTCTGAAAAAAGAAGGATCTTATCTCAAATCGGTAAACCCACTACTGCCAACATCATACTAAATAGGGAAAAACTGGGAATAAACAAGGGTGTCTACTCTCACCACTCCCATTCAATATACTACTTGAAACGTTATCCAGAACAATCAGGTAAGAGAAAGATATAAAAGGGATACACAGAGGAAATAAAGAAGTTGAACTATCCTTCTTCACAGATGATCTTTCACAAAAGCCAAACCAAGCCAAACCAAAAAATTCCACCAAAAGATTCCTAAAACTAATAAATTCAGCAAAGTAACAGGATACAAAATTAACACACACACACACTCACACACACACACACACACACACACGGAACCTGTAGACTTCATCCATTCTATTCCCTGTCTTACAAATGAGGAAACCATACAGGGTGGAAAATGATATAAGTCATGGGAAAGGTACAATGCTACAGGGGTCAAGGGAGGGGAGCGAACATCTGATTGAGGATATCAGGGAGCACTCCATGAACATTGGGGTATTTGACCTGGACCTTAGCACATAGTGTGTAATGCGCTTCTTTTGCTTACATCAGAATTACTTTCTTTCTGGTCAGTCTGTTTGTCTCAAGTTCTACCAGTCAACTTGAATCCTTATCCGTTTGGCCTCTTTCCAGTTCCCTTCACTTGATTTGGTGCCCTGGCTCTCTGAACGACGTTGTTAAACCATTTGCACTTGATCTACTTCCCCCATCCAGCACTGTCTTGACTGGGAAACACCCAAATCTTAGTTTGTGCGATTGCATGGCTTCCCTAGAGGTCTCCCGGGTATACAGAAATCAAAGGTCACCAACGGAAATGATTTCAGTTGTCAAAAACCTAACAAATGCGTGAAATGCTGTTAACTTACGAGTGGTTTCGTGGAATTTAATCGTGTGTGTATGTGCTGGGGATTGAACCCACGGCATCGAACATGCCGATAAAGTCTTATTTAAACCTCAGGGACCTGTTTTTGTTTTAATTAATTTTGTTTGTGCATTTAAGGAATACAATGTAGTGACATTCATCTTTGGAAATTTGCACCTTTACATAAATCCATCTTGGTCAGGGACCTGTTTTATGAACTGTCGGGACATTCTGTGGATGGCAGAGTGCTGAGAGTGCAGCTGAGGGAAACCTCACAAGGGAGGGGACTGACACCAGCTACAGCGTGACTTCTTCCTCACAACAGCCAGTGGCAGTTCCTCTGCGCCTCGGGATTCTCTTTTCTGCAGGGCAGCTATTGGGCTTCCCGGCATCAATGCCGTGAAGGAGGAAAAGGCATCCGGCTCCCACTTCCCCTCGGACTCCATCGCCAACCGCAGATCAAACCGGACTGCTCAGAGAGCCACTAAGCCACTCGGGCTCACTCACCCACCCGCCTCCCTTCCTCTCCGATGCTGCCGCCCATCTAAAACTGTTTCCAGCCATGGGCCGGGGTAGCTCGCCCTGCAGCGCCGGCGCACTATCCGCTGCACCTGTTAGGTCCAGGGTCACGCCGGGTTGTTTAGATGCGAAAAGTAAACAGACACGAGGGCAAGACTGGGACCGCCTCCCCGGCAGCGGCGCGAACTCCCGAGCCGAATTAATGAGCGCCTGACACTCCACGCTGCCTGCGGGAGGAGAGCGCGCCCCCACGCAGCCCACGCCGCGCAGGTCCACCCGGCGCCAGCCCCGGGACCACGAGCCCTCTCAAGATCCCAGCTCCCTGAGTAGAGCCCAACACAAGCCATAACCCCGAAGATGGGCGGAGAAGAGCCTAAGCAGATCCCGCCTTCCATAGGCCAAAATGACGCAAGGGGCGGACCCTTGTCCCAGAAGCGGGCTAAGTATTGGTGGAACCTCTGCACTGAGGTCTGCGATTGGTCGTACCGCGCAGGCGCCTTAGTCGTGAGACGGGCGGGCCAAAGGGCTTGGCCGGCGGTCGGTCCCGCCCCAAACGTTCTTGGTTCTGCGGGGAGGGTCGCGGTCGCCGCCTGGGATCCCCTAGCTCGGGGCGTCGCATGGGGCTGTTGGGGAGGAGCGGGACGTGCGAAGATTCGAGGTACGGGCGGTAAGACGTGGCGGGCGCGCGT